AATTAATTTTGGAATATGACTTAACATGTGGCTATAAATAAGAATAATAAATGCATGGGTGATAAAGCCAGAAAAGTGTCCGGGGGTCACCAGGTCCAGAGTGCACTGTACTGCACAGAACTCTTTCCATCGTTATATAACTTTATCTTATCTCTTTGCAGAAAAGGCATTTGGTTGTAAATGTCCTTGTTTTAGTAGCAACATTTCATGCAGACAAATGTAAATGTAACTATTGTAAACTGTATTTTTAAAAAATGTGTCCTCAAAACCATGAATCAAGGCAAAACTATAAAGCCATATCCTTATCATAACATTAAAGGCTATTTCACATCATATAAGAGCTGTTGCTTCTCTAAGTAGCCTGGAGTTGTTTTTGAAGAAGCTCATTTACACGGAGTTTGGTGTAGTTTGAGAATATGGGGCCAAGTAGGTGTGAGATAGGCATTAGGATGATCATTTACTATTTAAATAATATACATGTCCATTATATGTATTTTTACATAGACGTTCTTTGCCACCCAATAGTGGCAAAAACGAAGCACTATGGAAAGATTCTGTATGCAGTTAGAGCTGAAGTTATGTTCACAGCTTAGAGACTGGTAAGGAGGTTGGGATATGGGTAGAGAACTAAAACAAAGGTATTGAAAAGCATAGGGTAAATACAAAAATAGGTCATAAGGGAATGAGGTTAGGAGCAGAAGTGAGAGAAAGGGAGAAGAATTGTGGAGTTTCTTATTACTGGAAAGATTTTGTGTAAGTCTCACAATTTACCCAAGAGATTCTCTAATTCTCCGTGTAGAAAAAGTTCTCCCTCTCCCTTCGGTCATAATGTAAGAAAGTCAGAGATATCTCAGTGTCTTCTCAAAACTCTCAATACTTCACAATAATGAGAAACCATATGCTGACTGAGAAATATTAATAGAAAATGCTGTCTTTCAGATGCTCACTGAATCAATTGAAGACAGTTGACACATCTTTAGTAAAGCAGTATATGAATCTTAGCTCATTAACTAGTCCTTTATTATGTATGCGGATTCCAATTCCTTATATGACACATCAATAAACCAGATCTGAAAAGGTGTCATTTCAATTTTAATGTATCCAATTGTATTTTTAGATGTTCCTCCACTTAGAAGTGTTTGTGTTATTTCCTGATTTTACAGGCTATGGAAGAAGGGGCATGGTATTGATTTGAAAGGGTAACCACTGCTCTCCTATAACCTTTTCAAGATTATTCAGAACAAGATTTTTTTTTCTGATTATGTTGTAAGGAAAGTAAATTTCTCTTCCTTAATAATCTTTCAGCTTTCTCTGAACCATTGTTCAATTGCCCCTTTAGTACTGAAATATAACTTAGCCACAAACTTGTGTGTACCACTATTCAACTGTGCGATTTCTCAAGTATGTGTGAAACTAGAGAAAGAGAGGAAAAAATATTCTTATAAAAGAGCCTTCATGTAGAATATTCCTTATAAGCAGATATGGGAACCACCACATACTTTTATAAGGATTCTTAAATGTAACTGAACTGCTTACCAATCACAACATCAGTCTCTGGTGATCACAAAGTATCTAGTGTATTGTGAAATATCAGGCTACCATAACAATTGGATTGTCACCCACGGGCACCAGCTCAGTTCCACTTTTGGCAATGACATTTGGAAGGGTCACTGCAACCAGACAGAATGCTCATTGCTGAAAATAAAAGGTGAACCAGACCCAGCATGGGCCTCAAAAAAGGTGAGGGTGAGAGAGGGGTGAATATTTATAGAGTACTTACTTTTTACTGGTCATTGTGCTAGGTACATTACATACTATCTTGTTTAATCCATAAAACTGGCCTTTGAGATATTATTCAAAGAAAATGAGAATCTTGTCCAAGACCACACAGCTAATAAAAAGCTGTTACAGAATTCAAACCAAGGTCTATGTATTCCAATCCATGTTCATGTCTTTCATTTGTTCGCTAATTCTTTCTTCATACACTTAACCCGCTATATGACAGGATAAAAGCTGTCTAGCTTTATAGGAAAACTCCCAGCTAAATGGGAGAACTTGACAGGCATTCAAGCCATAGAAATACCATGCAGAATGTTGTATAAATAGAATGTCCTAAGTGCAATGCAACACGGAAGAGAGCAAAGGGACTCTGTCTAGGGAAGTTCATAGTTCTTTTACCTAATGGTTAAACAAACTTATTAAAGTTTTAATTCCTGCTCAAGCACCATGGAAGTGACCTTGTGAATTCAAATATTTCCAGTTAAGCAACCTCTAACGTTTCTTAAGCCGGAGTCATATGTTCCCTAAAACTGAGGTTTGCTGGATGTAGTCATTTAGACCACTCTCCACTTACCATTTCTCAAACTTAATTTATGGCTGCTACCTCTGAAATTCCGTGTCAACTGATCCCTTTTTTGGAAGCTCTGACATTGATCTGACCATTACAATGGCGAGAGATTTCAGTGAAATTAGAAAGGTTTCCTCTCCTTTCCCAACATCATCTTGATTGCTTGAACCAAGGGGTTTACCAGCTCCTCAGGTAAATTATAGCACTAGCATCAGGCCAAACTAGGCAGAATGTATCCACCTTGTAAATACATAAATGTGCGTATATGTATTTGTATATGGATTTGCATTAGATATATATGTTTATATACCTATATACTTAATATGTAATAATTGGTGTGTTGTATTAGCTTCAGATGACTAGATACAAAGTATCCGAGTATCCCTGAGAGCTTTGCACTGGACATCCTATACCAATTTCACTCTCATCTTTATTGAGTTGTTTTACTTACTTTTCTGAGTTTGTTATATCCCATAGTATCCAACTGGTCCTATGAAGCATCACATTGTCTTACCATCATTAAGCTATAAAGGGGCTTTCTTCCCTTTTGACAGAAAGATTTTATCTGCTGTTTGCTATGATATTGCAACTGGCTTTCCTTTTTCTTTCTCTTTCTTTTTTTTTTAATTTCTCTCTCTCTCTTTCTCCACCCCCTTTGTCTCTTTCATTTACAGTTGTCCAATCCATATTATGTTGGAACTCTTCTAAGAATAACTACAATTTTGAAAGCTCTAACTGTGGGAGGCATTATTTATAGGCCTTTGTGGTTTAGGGAGGAAGAAGAAAAGTTTCCAAGGCAGAGTTCTACTAGGAAGATTGCCCCCCACTCCTTAGCCAAATACCATCTTTTGCAGGATATTTTCCTATAATTCCTTGTTAAAAGTTTCTTTTGCAACAGTGTATTTAAAACCTGCCGGTTTCTGAACTAACTTTTTCTTGCCCCACTATGTAAAGTTTATATACCTAATAACAGGTGACAATGAATTGGGCTTTTGGGAGCACATTGCATTAGGAATTAGGCTTTAGTATCAGAGACTCATCTTCAAAGGCTTCGGTACACTCTGGCTGATTTTCTTATGGCAAAGAAACTCAGAGACAGAGAGCACAGGACTGGTCAGACTGCCCCACAGATTCAGAGAAGCTCTTTTCAGCTGTGTGTTCACTCCACATCCAGATGGATGGCACACCATTCCATCTACATTCTAGGGAACAGAAAGGTGAAAAGGCTAAAAAGCTAAATTAGCTCCCTGCACATGGCCTCACCAGAAGTTCCATCTATCACTTTGACCAAAGGCTCATTGGCCAGACGTGGTCACATGGTCGCTCCGCCCACCAGGGAGGCTGGGAAATGACCTCTTTTAGCCAAGTACATTGCCATCCCCTCAACAATGTATTGTCTTGCTAAGGAAGAAGAGAGTGAATATTGGGTGGGTGTGTACCTTACATATTACCCGCATACATTGTCTTTTCCAACAGTGACCTCTTAAAGATCACCACGAGCTCTGTGCTAGAGGTCAGAGATAGAATATAGAAAGGAAAGGTACCTAAGTCAATGTGTATAAAGTGTTTAAGTTCAATAAATAATTACAGTTCTAAGTCCTGGTTAAAATTATGGTGAGAAGAATTCTCTAGGTGCTAAGTAGATCAATTCTTATTATGCCATCCATGCCCATAAAGGAAAAAAGAAACGAAATGAGGGAAAGCAATCTATGTGGTATGTAGTTTTAAACAACTTATTTTTTTTTAATGTGTATGACTAGGTATTACTCTTCCAATTTTTACTTTTTGCACTTTTTTTATTTTATAGCAAAAACAAAATGTGTTAGGGAGAAAAGATAGCATGAAGTAATAAAAAAGATTATTTCCCCTTCCACAAAATCAAGTGAACAATAGAATATTGGTCATTGAATCACACTGTGTGTCTTCATCTGTCCGTTGCTTTTGCTACTAAAACAAATTATCACAAACTCAGTGGCTTCAGACAACATGAATATTTTATCTTACATTCCTGGAGGTCAGAAGTCTGAAATCATCTTCACTGGCAGAAACTGAGGTGTTGGTAGCCCTGTGCTCCTTCTGGGGTCTCTCTTTCCTTGCCTCTTCCAGTTATTAGAAGCTGTCTTCACTTCTTAACCCATGGCCCTTCATCACATAGCCATTTATCCTCCTGTTTCCATTGCCACAGTCATCTTTTCTCTCTGACTCTGATACTCCTGCTTTTCTCTTAACCACCTTTGTGATTATACTGGCCCCACTCAGATAATCCAGAATAATCACCCCATCTCAGACTTCCTAATTGAATCACATCAGCAAAGTCCCTATTCACAGGTTTCAGAGATTAGGGTATGGACATCTTTGGAAAGTCATTTTGAACCTTACCACATCTTATAAAAGAGTAAAGCATTTATAAAACTGATTCAGTACCTGATCTTAACAAGATGATGTCAAAGCCACACTGTTGCAGGTTTCATATTACTATAATTCACATCAGAGTCCAAATAAAGAAACTTCATGGTAATGATGTTGAATATACTTATTCTCTTTGGCTGCTGATTAGGACTTTAAGTTACTAAGTCTTTGTCCAAAATTCTCCTAAGAATATTCCCTCATGCAATTATGAAATCTCCTTCTTTTCTAACTTTTTTTTTTCCAGAAAAGCAAGACTACAACACAAGAATTGAAACTATAAAGTCTCTTGTACAAAAACTCCCTCCACCAAATCGTGACACCATGAAAATCCTGTTTGGACATCTAACTAAGTAAGTTGTAAGGGTTTCTCGTTGTGTCATCATATTCTCATTTCTTACATAAGCAAGTATTTAATTTCAAATCTCTAAGACAAGATTTTCCAAATGCATCTATCTCAAATTTTCCCCTTAGCCAGTCTAAGTGTTCCTACAGAAGCTGGAGAACATACTAGAGGTAGGAAGGAGAGCCTACAAAAAGAACTTCTAAAATAAGTTATTTTTTCTGGTCTTTTCAACAAGTAGGTATTTGCTGATTCATTGTCATAACCTTACCCAGAGCCCTAGGATAGACCACCTTTATTTCATTATCTAGTATAAGGGAGGAACATGAAATAATTCAGATGTGAGTGCAAAACATAGCTTCATCATGTACAAAGTGCTAGGACCACAAATAAGTTACTTACACTGTCTGAAATTCACTTTGCTCGTTTGTAAAACGTTGATTCAGATTGATAAGGTGCTATCCATGTAAAAAGCTGAGAAGAGAATGAAGGCAGAAAAAAACAAGTGTAAAGGCCCAGAGGTCCACAAAACTTGATGTATTTGAAAAACAGAAAGCAGGCCAGGATGGCTAAACTTAACGAACTAGGGGTGGTGGGGTTTGGAGTTAAGGTCATAGCCGTTAGGCTGACTGCTGTCAGATCACACAGGTTCTTGTGGGCCTCACCTAGAGCTTAGGATTGTATTCTAAGTATAATTCAAACCATAAAGAGTGCTAAATTGAAGGAGTATAGAAGATCACTCTGGCTGCCATGTGAAGAATGGATTGCAAAATAGAAGCAGGGAGACCTACCTGTAAGGTGGAAACCATAGTGGTCCAGATGAGAGGTAATGATAGCTTATGTGGAGTCCTTAAAGAGATAAATTGGTGATGGGTCAGGTTGGATCTGCTGCTGGTCAAAATGCAGTTGGAAAAGGAAAGGAGAAATCAAGTCTGCCCCTTAGGGTTTGGGCTTAGGCAAGTGAAAAAATGGTAGTACGACACAGATGGGTTGAATAGGAAGAGCAGACTGGAAAGTTCCATTTTGGATGTGTTAGGTTTGGAATGACTGTTACTCATTTGCTCTCTGTTAACGCCTTCTTCAGATAAGTCAGAGTGCAATACAAGTGATGAGGTTTTAGCTTTCACCATATACCTATAATAATGTTGAATCCTGATAGAGTGTCACATAGATTGGACAGTTTTGCTTTTGTGAGATTGAATCTCCTTAATCACCCATTCCTTGGGTTGAGTCATTCCTATAGATTATTGAACTAATCCATTACATGATTTTTCACTGTGAATTTAATACATGTAATTGCACACACAAAAAATTTAAGCATCAATGGTGCATGTAGATTAAAAAGTGAAATTTGCCTACTGATTACTCTTAGCCTTCTGAACAGAAGTAACAAACATTTTTGTGTATATGTGTATACACATATAAACATATGTGTATATGACTGTTATTATGTTAAAGTTTATCATACTGAACACATTGTTCTGCAGTATTTTGCAGCTCATGGACAGTCTTCCATTTCATTAAGACAGACTTATGTGATTCTCACTAATAATGACAAAGTCTTCCATAATATGGGTAGTCCATAATTGGCTTAATCAGTCACTGCATTAGGGAACATGCTTTAATCTAATCCATCATATTAGTTTCTTTCTTATTTTACCCAAGAGGAGAACCTGTGCCAAAGTTCAGACCATCCTTTATTGCTAGAATATCCCTTCTTATCACCTCCACATACTGGCTATAAGGGGAAACCCAGTGTGGCTTAGTGAAAGGATCTTGGTTGGCCTTTAAGGAAATAGAGAGCTCTAGAGTCAAATCCTTATTCTATACTTTACTCTTCTTATGATCTCAAAAACATAAAATTGGATTAAATAATATCAACCATACCTTGTGGTCATGAGAATTAAATGAGATAATGCATATAAAATGCCTGGCACAAGGTAAGCATTCCTCAAATGTAAATTCTTTTCCCTTAGGATCCAGACATATCATGAAAGGGGTTTCAAGTTACAAGTAAATACTGGAGTGCTTATGCCAGTAACTTTAACTGGACAAAGTCATAAAACAAATGGAAAAGTATACTCTTTAATGCTATGCAATACCTAGTCTTAGAGATCTTGAGAAATATCCATTACTCGGTCTCAATTATTCCTTTTTTTCCCCCAACTGAACGAACAGCTATGAAATGAAGAAACTTAGAGTCAGCTAAATCCTCCTTGGAAAAAAATAAAACACACAGATGAAAATCCATCCACTTAAAAACCTTGGAAGGGTGAGAATCTTCCACCTTTATGCCACACCATCCCATTATTATATCACCTTCACAGCATTCACATTATAAGATTTTTCATTATAAATGGAGAGAAAAGTGTTATTTACTAGTCACCAACCTTTCTTGACTGGTGTGACCATATTCCGCCCTGCACTGATTTATAAACTGGGTTTAATTATGCATAAGTGTGTGCACATGATTATATCTTGTTAATCATTTTTTTGCTAAGTTTTTAATAAACAGCCAATCGTGGCATGTCATGAAAGCCTGAGAAGACTAAATAAGAAGAAGATTGTTTAATAGGAATTTAAAAATATTCATGTTTGAAAGAATCATTAGAATGTTTTCCTTAGTCCTGATGCATTTGGTAGTTCTTCAGAAAATCTACCATCAACACTTGTGTGTAGTGTTTATTTCAAGTTGTTGCAAATATATATATTTTGAAGTTTGTTTAGTGAGGGTCAGGGAATGTAATGAAGTGCCAAAAATTCCACTTGACCTATGTACTCTGTAGCCGACAGAAGAGAACTCCATTTTTTTGCGCTGCACTGAATTAAACGTTCCCTTGAAAGCAGAGCTTTCTACCAACTACCAACTGAGAAAGCTTAATACAGTACAATTGGACTACCGGGTGGATGCCAGTCCTGTCTGCAAAAGCCAGAAGTTTTAAAGGGTTGTGATTACATTAAGCATAAGATTACACAATGGCTGAACCAGCTGAATAGTCTCAGAGTCCAGCGTCCTCATTCTTGATCAAACTCAAGGTCAAGTTCTATGCTTCTGCTGTGCTAAGATGAGACCAGAAATTCAGAATAAGCTATCATCTCAAAATGCCATCAACCAGAAACCTTTATTAATAGCCACTTTCACAAATTGACATTACAGTGATAAGTACTGTAAGGTCCTGTAGTACCTTCTGAATCATCACATAAATGGCAAGTTCTAGCTCTATAAAATATGTGTCAAGTGCATCTTCCTGCTTCTTTGGAAAGGCAGGGAGGCAAAGTGAAGATGAAGTTAATGAGGAAGGAGGACCTAGAAAGATAAGGTTTAGTTGCTGATGGGCCGTATTGTAGATTAAAAGCCAGGCAAAGAAGTTACATACGCAATAAAGAACCACTGAAACTTTATTTATGGGACACTTGTATGATGTGCCCAGTGTTTATGAAAGTAGTCCAACAACAGAGTGTAGTGTGAACAAGACAGAAGGGGAAAAGAACCCAGGAGGCCACATGGGAGTTGTGGTTGGATTAGATTGTTGAACATCAAGTGGAAAGACATGGCCTAAATCTTGAGAATTTTCAGAGGAAAATTCCACACAATTTTTATTTCTCTCATTTCTTTATCCCCATATCCCATCAGCCATGGAGTTAAGTCTCAGGTTTCAGTGCTAGGTGATTGTGAAAATAGTCCCTCTGACAACAACAACAACAACAATAATAATAATAATAATAATAAAGCAAAAGGAGATACTGTGTAGAAGGGTACACCCTTTTTCTCTATTTTGCAAATATAGAGGAAGAGGAAGATGAGGTTAATGAAAACTAATTAAATAGGATGAATCCCATTTTGTCAGATGTATATTGAATCAAGCCCTTTATATGCTGCCAGGTAGGATGTACCAGCCAGCATGATGGGAAAGCCATATATGTAATATGTCTCAAGAATAAAAGTAATGTCATCTTAAGTAATGAGGGAGGCAGTTTACACAGACAAAATCACTTATACAGTTGTATTTGCACTGGTAAAAACTTGGAAACAACCTAAGTGTCCAGTGATAGGGGAAGGTTATATAGAACATGATACATCATATCAGCTTAGTGAAATGTAGTTCATAGATAATTGTTTTTTTTCTTAATTTGGAGATAAGTTAAAGTCAGGGATACAATATCTTATGTACTCAAAAAGAGTATAACTGTAAGTATGTGGGAAATTTGTGCATCTAGAAAAGACTAAAACTTTTTGTTGAGATGTTCATATTTCTTCCTTATAGTCATTAAGTTATGAGTTTTTTCCCCCATGTGTTGCTTTTTCTCTCCTAATAATGGTATAGAAGGCAATCTTGAAGTTAAGAGAGCAGGTAAAGAGAGCAGGCTTTGGAGTTAGGCAGACCTGAATGTGAGTCTTGGCTCTGCCACTTATGGAAGGTGTAACTTTGAACAAATCACCTCTAAGCTTTCATTTTCTCATCTGCAAAATGGAAATCATAATAGAAGCTATTTCTCTGGTGAGGAGTAAATGAATAGTGTTTTTAAAGAGGCTCACACAGTACCTATCACTTATTATGTTCTAGATAAACATTATACATCAGCATGTATCATTTTTATAGGGAGAGAAAAAGAAGACAATTTTTTAATAAAATAAATGTAGGAAGAATTGTAGAAGCTGCATTGCCAAATTTCCTGGCTTCCAGAAAATTTTTTATCTCACCACAGAATCTTTTTCCAAAACCTGAGTCCCTGCACTGGCCTGACTCGGCCAGTTTCCCCTAGTCCCAGGGAGGCTGATTTCACCTGTTTGACCAACCATATGACATCCCACACCATGCCAAATCCCTTGTGAAATGCCCAGACCAACTCTACCCTGTCCTTAACTCTCCATCTGCCTGATTTGCAACTTGTCCCATGTTCACAGATCAGACTATTTTTACCTTCGAAGTGGTAGCTCGCTGAGATCAGCTACTCTACCTTAAGTCTTAGGCCCAGTGTGAGGAGGCTGGAGAAAGGGCACAGGTCTTCTCTGCTTCTTGTCCAGAGCCTCCCCTGTTAGAGCCGTTTCCTAAGGACAGACCTCTTGCCTTGTAGTCTTACTTAGCATAAGATTCTCACAGTGAGGGCGCCTGGGTGGCTCAGTCGGTTAAGGGTCTGCCTTCGACTTGGTCATGATCCCAGGGTCCTGGGATCGGGCCCCGCATCAGGCTCCCTGCTTGGCAGGAAGCCTGCTTCTCCCTCCCCCACTCTCTCTGCTTGTGTTCCCTCTCTCGCTGTGTCTCTCTCTGTCAAATAAATAAAATCTTAAAAAAAAAAAAAAAAAGATTCTCACAGTGAGAATTTCCTGCCAGACAGCACAAGCACACTGGCTTCGTGGGAGCCTGGTAAGTGAGACACGTTGAAGCCAGTAGGGCCTTATCCTGTGCCTCAAACAGCCTGTGTAAACACTCTTAGAATCCTATCAACTACCTATCTACCTGATATGTAGCACTGATCTTTTGAAGTTCTGGCATTCCTATTGCTATTACTCTGAGGAAGGTGTTCTAGCTATGGCTGCAGTCTTTCCCCACATTTTTATTTCCAGGATAAAAATCATACATGAAATGTGCAGCAAATTTAGAAATAAATACAAAAAGTATTCCCACCAAGCTAAATTGAACTCATTAGCCGGATTAACTTTGTGGCATGAGTTTTGGAAGCCAAAACAATCTCACATTTTTGAGTGGGGCAGGACATGAAAGAACATTCCATTCCCATGTAGGGTATACATTGTTCAGAGACAGTCAAAATGTCTTAGAAATGGGTGGCTGTTAGAGATGACTAATTGTCGTTCACTGATTTTCAAAAATAGCTTTGGAAGAATATATTTGCTGCAGACTTTAGATGCAAATAAATATTCTTACAGGAGACTTGCGCTTTGTAAAATACGTTCAAAAGACAGCTAAAAAATCTTCCCTGTTGCATTGACTCTGAGAAAATCGCCCAGCTGTTCATAGAATTCCAAGGTGAAGGAATGATATGGCTGAATAGACAAATCTCATGGAAGCATGCCAGTTGAATGCCTTGTTGAAAGGCTAAACTGTTGAGCTATGGCTATTTTGTGAGAGTAAATTGATATTTAAAGCTTCTCTGTGGTCTTCATGGGTGTTTAAAATATTCTACAAGAACATGTCAGAGGCAACTCAAATGATGATGACCTAGAAATTGTATGAGGAAACAATGGTGAGGAAATAATTCATCCACCCTGCCTATAAAATGGCATGGTGAGCGTTTCTGATATGAGGGGCCGCGGGGAATGACACATGGCCAAAGAATGAACTTGATAGCCCATGAGCTCTTGCCCCTTTCTCTGGTCTTCAAGACCAATGGCTGGTGAAGCTCTCTGCCTCCCATCAGGCCTCTGAGTGCTCAGCTCTGGTGTGCTTTGGAGCAGGCTATGTTTTTCTATGCTGTCTTCTGGCACTCCACCCTTTTTCTGTACACTTTGGTCGCTCACCCAACCATAATACCTGATAGCCAATGACTTGCAGGCCATGGGTATTTTTACTGGAAAATGAGGAACCTGTACAAATTGTTATTTTCTTTTTTCTCTCTTTTTTTCTTTTCCTTTTTTTTTTTTTTCCTGAGGGACAAGGGCTGCAAGTTGTTTGAAATAAGCCAGAAGCCTAATAGCTCCTTTGCTTGTGTATTTGAAATGGCACCCTAATCACTTTGAAGAGCTAATGTACTTCCTATGGGCCTGAAATTTCTCAACTGGACTCCTGTGGCAGAATTTGGCCTGGTAGTTAAGAAAATTAATTACTCTGATCGCGAGGATGAAGCAATAGTTCCCAACTCCCTGTAGTAATCATTAAAATGTCATCTACTTAGGAGACATCTTGGCACAGGATTTATAAGGTTTGTGAGCTGGGGACTAAGGTTCAATGATCCTTCCAGTGGTGGATCCTTGTTTTGGAGGAAGGCTTTGGGAGATAAGGTTTTTAAGACAGCAGGGAAATTATTACTTTAGATCTTTTAATTTAACATTTGAATGGTAACATTAGCCACTGAATAACAGGAAACAAAATAAAACTTAAAAAGACTACTGCTCATTTGTCACTGGGTTCTCTGTGGTTAGTGGTGGTCCACCCCATGTGGGTATTTCCCTCATAAGAGGTAAATTTTTTAAGTTGTCCCATCCTTCTCCACTATGAAACGTGGCCTTTTACCTAATGGAAGGAACCAGGGATCTGGAGTCAGAAGACATAGGCTCAAGTCCCAACCTCAGCCCTTAGAAACTACAACATTAAGAAAAGCTTTTAATGTCTTTAAACCCTCCCTTTCGATCATGTGTGAAATAGGTCAAATAAATTCACACTTAGGAAAATGTTCGTCAGCTGTGAAATCCTGTCTATTCCTTTAGGAAGTCTTAAATACGTTCCCACCACATTCCAGGCACTGGACTAGATCATAGGTTGGCCAAATATGGCCTGCCCTTGAGCTACATACAGCTTGCTGCCTGTTTTGTTAATAAAGTTTTATTGAAACACACACACACACCCATATGTTTATGTATTGCCCATGGCTGTTTCCATGCTACAATGGCAAGAGTTAAATAGTTGTGACAAGTTGCACAAAGCCAAAAATATTTGCTATCTGACCCTTTACAGAAAAAGTCTGATGGCCCCTCAATTTGATGCTGGAGGCATAAGGAAGACTCCTACCCTCACTTCTCCTCTGGTCTCCTGGTATAGATAAATTAGTAAACAATTGCAATAAATACGGTGCAAAGTTGCAAGATGCCGTGAGAGCCCCAACCAGGAGCTGGGATTTCGCCTAGAGAAACCAAAGAAGGCCTCCCAGAGGAGACGGAACAGGCTATCTTTAAAGATGTTGTTTTGGCAGACAGCACAAGCAGAGACCAGGTACAAAGACGTGTGGAGGAGAACTATGGTGTGGTGAAGAAAGAGCGAATCCTCTGGCGTGACTGAAGGATTAGCAAGTATGAAAGAAGTAGCAGAACATACGCCCAGAACGTAGTGAGCTAGAGCTAACTCGTGAAAGACCTTTCACAGGCCTTGTTGAGGAATTTGAAATTCATTCTTTAGACATTAGGTAAATCGTGGAAGGGTCAGAAGCAGGGAGATAAGATGATGGGATTTCTATTTATAAAGATCCCAGTCTTTGGAAGGCTGAAGGATAGCCTGTAGGAGGGCAACACTAGTGACAGTAAAACCAGTCGTGAGGGTACAAGCTAGAGATCCCAAACTTAAGGAGGTGATGGGAGGAACGAGGACGTGGGATGGATGCAAGAGGCACAGAGGAGGTAGATTCAATAGGACATGCTCACCAAAGGTATGCAAGAAGTTAGGAAGAAGGAGGAGTCCCAGGTTATGGACTAGCTGAGCGGTGATACCCTCAACTCACATAGAGGAAAAGCATAAAATTAGAGGTATGAAAGAAGTTGAAAGTTTGGGGATGTGATGTGGGATTCTTGATAGTTCACTAGCGAATTCCATTTGAGGATAAGCAATATCTGTTGGGAATGCAGGAAAGGTGATTGGGATCTACGTATGAATTTGGGAGTCATCAATTTAAAGGTGGAATGGGGTAAGGTCATGAATAACCCCAAGGGCCAGTGTGAAGCCAGAAGAGAGCTGAGGACAGATTCCTGGGGTTTGTCTAACATTGAAAGAGTGGTCAGAGGAAGACGCTGGGGTGAGAGTCTGAGAATGGCACACACGGTGATAGAAAATTTGGCAAGAGCAGAGGTCTCATGCGTTTTTGGCTGAGATTATTACTACAGGGGGCCTAGTAAATTCTCGTGGTAACGGAACATCAGGCAGAATTTCTGGTAATGACCAGCTACTGTTCAATCCTTCATTGTTTGCTTCTTGAGAAATCACAGGAATAAATATAATAACCGAGCAGGAAAAAAATGTTATTCTATAGCATAATGACATCCTGAAAAATACTGATAAAGATGGAAATTATAAAGAACTGAACAGGTTCCCTCTGCCATTAGATCGTAGGTTCCAGGAGGGCAGGAATTTGTGTCACTTTGAATCCTGCTATATCCCCAGAGCTTAGTACAGTGTCCCAAACGTTATAGATCCTCAGTCATTTTTGTTGAACATGACTTCATGGAATAAGAAGATAATAATCTGATAGCCAGTAATGGTTCCAGTTAAGATCAGCTGGAACCTTGGTACCTTGATACATAGTTCAGACTAGAACCAGGGAATATTCCATATGGAGAGTATAGGTTAGTAAGCTGTTCCTCTCAAGTTTCTCTCTCCTCACCTGATATTTATCTTTTCATCATGATGAAGAGAAAAGCAGCTGTAATTGCAAGAGAAACAATATTAATATTAAGATTGCATGTTAAGAGACCCTGAGTATAATGAATGAGTGGTCAAAGAGGCTTCCCCTGCTGAGGGAGCCTTGGTTAGGGAACGTGTGAGTGTCCACCAGTGTTGGAGCCTGTGAGGTAAATTCGCTGGAGTCTAAGGTGAGTTGCCAGTGCTTCTGATTTCTTAATTGTCTGGGATTTGTAACAGATCTTGGAATAGAAAAACTTCATTTCACATCTTCTGTCATGGCTCCCACTATGAAACTAAAGAATCTCTATCACTCCTGTCTCCTATGAACCCACCCTGACCATCATTGCTTCCAGATCCAATCTTGACTTCCTACCACCTGGAATTATTGAGCATTAGGTGAAGCAAACGAACAAAAATGATCTTGATTACAAAAGTTTGCCCTCTGCTATTAAGTATATAAAAAAATTTGATTCTCCCATTTAATGGAGCAGAAACACAGCAAACTTCAAAGTGGAAGGGGGAAAAAAAATCAACCAGACCTCAAGTCACCTGATTTCCAGTCCACTAGACCACACTCTGCTTTCTTGCCAATACCAATACTCGATTGTGTTTCCAGGGAAGAAGGAATGGTAAAACAAAGAGCGAGAAAGACCAGCCAACTATGATAGAGGCACAGGCCTATCCCTTGAATTCCCTTTTTTTAATTGAACACCAGCTATAATCCCAGCTCTTTAAATAAAATTACCTAACTAATTAGTAAATTGACATATTTATATAAGGGGTTTTCTGCCTGTCTGTTCTCTCTCTCTCCTTCCCTCTCTCCCTCTCTCTCTGTCTCCCTGTAACACATTGCACCCAAAAAGCATCAGGGAAACTTTGATTTCTGGGGTTCTTTTTAGAAACAAGTTCCAGATCCACGTTCATTAATGCTGTGTGTGTGTGTGTGTGTGTGTGTGTCTACGCACCCTTAGAGAAAGCACGTTTTTTTAAAAGGCAACGATGGTTCTGCCTTTTACCACCTTCTTTCTCCTCTTTAAATGGAAAGCACTGAACCCAGATGCCCAACCACGGAAGATATTCTTCCAGAAGCAGCATCTGGCTTCCTGGCAAGCCCTACCGGCGAGTTGTTTGGGGAGCTTTGCAGTTGTCTCTCGGTCTGTCACGTGTATCAGAGACCGTGGCCTCTCTGGCTGGCATGTCCAGACAGCTGCCAATTCCTTTCAGTTCACCTTTAATTCTGAGACCGAGTTTCCTCATTTTCATTTCTTAGCGGACCTATTTTTTTTCTCCCCACTGCCCATATGAACTCTAGGACAAGATGCATTTCTCATTGCCGCCTGCCTATCAACTTCCTTTGCAGGCCTCTGTCTTTTGAACCCGAGGGAAATTCTCAGCTATTTAGAACTACATTCAAAGAGGTGACTTTAAATAATATTTCTTAGTCATTTCTTGTCAGCATAGCTCCTTGTAAAGTGTGGGGTCGTTCCCTGAAAAAAAGAAAAGTGAAACATTCCATTGGAGTAATTTATTCTGGTCTGTACACAAGACATGAAAGTATTCTTGACATTTGTGTATTATTTAGTTAAATCATATTGGCTCCCCACATCCTTGTCACACCATGAACAAAAGAGCATCGCAGGACTGGAAAACATGAGGCAACATGGCAGCATTCCAAATAGCACCTGCTTCAGGGTACTAAATTTTTTAAAGTAGTTACATTTTTTTTTACCTATATATATATATATATATATACATATATATTTGTTTTGTTTTACTTGTGAAGGATTCTGTGGGGTTTTTTTTATGGATAATTGTTAGGAACACAGAGTCCGATGGTAGCCCACGCATGAGGAAGCCGTGACAAGGTGCTGACAAGTCCAGCAGCAGTACCCAGAATGCAGAGGAGAAAGCAGAAATTAGAGCTGCAGGGTGACATCCAGGAATAGTTAACACGGGGTAGCTGCACATTTCCATGTTGTTGGGTTTTTTTTTTTCCCTGCATGCAAGAAAAAGTGCAGATTATATATGGGATTTCTGATCTCAAGACTGTATTGTCTGGGCTGAGAAAAGATGGGACTTAGCAGTGGACAGGAGGAAATCTCAGCCATTAATAATAATTGGTCTGTGGCCAGTGGCAGACTCAACACACACTTGTCTTTGAAGAGATACCCAACTGAAATGATGGGCTTAACTGGAATGAGAGCGTCTGGGGAGCAAGGAAATGAATTTAGGGGCTATTTGGATCAGAACATTGGGAAAATCTCTTTTGAAACCATCTGTATGACAGTAGAGCTCAAATTTAAGATTAGAATTTTTAAGTCTGTTTTATCTCTGCCTCAGTGACATTTTTTGGTCTGTAATTTTTCCTCAGGTGAATTTGTTAATGTGCACAAAGGAAGTTGAAAATACAGGCAGAACTTAGAAACTTTATACTAAATATCACCCCTTGTGTAGAGATGACTGTGTCTCACTTCCAGTAATTTCTTCTCTTCTGTGTCATATGCACATTCTTTTTAACCAGGCTATTTTCTCTTACATTTTCCCTTCTCCCCGCCCCCTTTCCTGCCTTATATAATCATCATCCTTAAATTCTTCCTCCCATTCCCCTCACTCTGAGAAGTCTCTTCACCCTCAAGTATTGCTGCCTACATCAATCTCCCCTTTATTCAGGACCCACGATAGTTATATACCCAGTAACTATCATGATAGACACGGAGCTGGGAGCGAAGACAATTTTACCTGGATGACAATCAGCCCCTATGAGCTGGGAACGTTATTCGGTTGTGAGGCCTCCCTCCCTGTCCCCTGCGAAGTTCCCTTCCCTCACCTCACTCTCACTCCCAACTTTGTGGTTCCAGACCCTCCTCTTCACACGAGATTGGCAAACCATCCTGTCTTTATAGAGATTCTGTTAGTCTATCCATCTGTTTGAGGAAACCTCTGTTCTTCTCTTTCTCACTTTCAAAGAGACAAGTAGAACACTTGGGGACAGAGCCATAGCAAGGAGGAGGCAAGACACAGGTGCTGGCACTCCAACACTAATAACACTTTTTTTCTGCTCTCCATGAACTGACAGTCAGCATACACCTCTTAATAAATATTTTTCCCTTCATCAGTTTGTTCACTCATTCATTCATTTCACTTACTAATGAATTCCTTTATTTCCCATCGTGTTTGGGATATGAAAAGAAAGAAGAAATTACCTCTGCTGTAAAGGAATGTTTATCTAATTAATTTGTGTCTCTGTGCTTGGACATCAGAACAAATTTCCTCACATAGTGAAAAGATATGCAAAGTGATATTTTACCTAAAATCTGATTTTTTTTTTACCCATTTGAACACTTTTTTTTAGCAATCATTTCGCATCCCAGAAAAATTCTACTGTTAAAAACACAACTCTTCTTCAATGAGAACACAAGTCTTCCTCTTGGCCCCCTGCTCGCCCATCTTTTTCCATTTCTTTTTCACTTCCAACTGCTATTCCGGGGTCATAAGTGCTTCCTTGGTACTGACCTTTGAGTCATCGGAAGGGAATTCCATACCCTCTCCTAGGGCCACATTTTCTGCTTAGGGTTGGAGATCCCCCACAGAGATAGTGAGGCATTTTATGGGTGGTTTACATGTCCCACTCTATTTTTCTAACTAGCAAGAAGGGGGAAATAAAATGCATGCCCTGTTCTCTCTGGCCTCACTCTCCATTCATAGCACACTGAAAATAACCAATTCCTAGAGTGCCAAGCTCTTAAAGTAACTCATACTTCCCTGGCAATGACAGGAATTTATCCTTCATCTTGGCAGAGGAAGGCCTATTTGCTTCACCCCTTATCACATTCTTGCTATTCTCTGCGCAAGTTTCCCCTCCAACACCCTGTAATAGGCTAGGTGGGCCTAGAAGCAAGTGGCTACCTAGGAAAACGAAAGAAATGTTTGTTGTCACATTCTAAGAATTTCTGATCCCAAAGCACTTGTATCCAAGAAATGGTAATATCCGAGAAAACAGTCATGCGGTCGTGCGGGAGACCCTGGGAGGTGGGGGTAGCAGGGGAGGGAGGAGATGGCCACAGAAACATTTTGTTCATCACGAACGCAGCCACCTGAAAAACACCAGCTAATTAGCAGTCTGTAGCCACACAACACAGCAGTTGAGTACAAGAAGTGAACAATACTTTACCTAATTGAAACTACAGAGCGGACTTAGGTAGACTGCATGCAATTACACAGATTGGAAGTCAGCCAGGACATGGAGGTTAACAATCCCTTCTCTCACAAAAAGCACCGCGGGAACTTTAATGACCACAAGTGGTAAGGGCCGTTATCCTGCAGCCCATCCAAGAGGCCTCACCTCTCACAACCCAGATTCCATCAGAAGGGCTTAATGGTGTCAACTAATTGCCTGGGGGGGAAGGGGCGCCCTCTATGGGCACAGGTGCGCTTGTACCATGTGACTAACTCACCTTTCCCAGACTAAAATAGGCTTTCAAGTACTGGGGTGGAGGGGCCTTCGAAAGAGAGGGGACATTTGGGTAGGTCACCTGGTGGACAGTGGGAGCTGCGGAGGCTGTGCAGTCTCCTCAGCCTCCTAGTCTCCTAGCCTCCTCAGCCAGCACTACTGTGGCCTAAGCAGTCCAGAAAGTTCTAGGCTAAGATTTCTTAAACTTGAATGCGCTTACAAATCAGGTCACCCAGAGATCTTGTTAAAAATGTAGATTCTGATTCAGGGGATCTGGGATGGGGCCTGAGATTCTGCGTAGAGAACAAGCTCGCAGGTGCTTCTAATCTAGGAACCACACTTTCAGAAGGCAGTTCTTACAGGGAAGAGGGAAGAGGTCTCCCTGAACCAGAGAGCAGAGTCTGGGCAAAGAGAAAGAGGACTTTAAGATGAGCTTAACGCCCAGAATAATCAAGTTCACTTTCATTTGTCCCAGAAACTAAAGAACAGAAACACAAGAGTCCAAAATAGTAAATATTCCAATCCGGTCCTAAAATCTACTCATGAAATGGCTTCTACTCTTGGGGGAGTGTGGGAGGAGGCACAGCCTTTGATCCCTGAACACGTTCCGTGAATGAGACACCTACTCTGAACAGTGGTAGGATTTGCCACTCACTGGTTAGTGCCGTAGCAGAGACACACCAGCCAGCAGGGGTCTGTGATGACCTCCCAAGAACCAAAACGGTCTTTCGAGATGAATCAAGAGAAGACAAGATAGCAGAATGCAGACCTTCAAAGCTTGACCAATGGACAGTGAAAGGAGTGATAATCTTGCTTCAAAGCTTTGTAAAATAGAATCAGAGTTGCTGAAAAACATCAAAGAATGGGCCATTTTTAAGCTTATATTATGCAAACTTAATTTATTGCTGCTTACTACAGAGGCTTTCATGCTAAAGCCTGCATATACCATTAAAGATTTAATTGTTAGTTGGATTAATGATTATATTCTTTATCTAGTTATTTCCTAAGTGCTTCTTATACTAATATCTACATATTTTGTGACTTCTTAATGATAGAATTCACTTTAGATGTATGGAAAGACACACACACACACACACACACACACACACACACACACACACACCCTTAAAAAGCAAGACCCAATTAATCCCTGGTGAAAGGAGTATGAGTTCCTACATTTAGACATGCTGTAAACATGCTATAAACTAGATAAGGCTGGAGTTTAAATATACATTTATCCTAATATATAGCTCATCAGTATAGCTGCAAAAGTGCTATTACTTGCCAAAGATATATAAATTTAGGATATCATTCAAAATATATCATTTGAAATGCTCAGCTGTCTAAAGCCAGCATGGTAAAGTACATATACAAGAAGGAGAAGAATATAAGCATCCATCAAGGAATCAACAGGATCTATGGAGTGTCTACTCTGTGCTACATACTACACTGGGGAGAGCTAGGAGGATAAAAGAAGTATAAAATCAGAAGTATAAAGTTCTACCTTTGCAGAGCTGCTAATCTAACAGGGGACAAAGCACTTAGAAAGAGAGAG